AGAATATACAACACCATAGTCAAAAGCATAGTCACGTATAGTTCAGAAGTCTGGCCACTAAAGATCAGAACCGCAAAAATGCTAGAAGCAACTGAAATGGACTTTTGGAGGAGATCGGCAGGCAGGTCAAAAATGGAAAGGATAACAAATCTGAGAATTAGGGAGATTATGGACGTAAAACACACAATAATAGATGATATAAAGGACAAACAGCTGATTTGGTTCGGACATGTGATTGAGTGGAAGCCAGGGGGAAGAAGAAGACGCGGCAGACCAAGAAGAAGCTGGAGAAGCGGAGTAGACGAGGAAATGAAAGACAGAGGCTTAGAAGAGGATGCCTGGATTGACGGAGATGGTTGGAGATCGGGAATCGGAAGACGTAGAACGTTATAAACCGATAATTATATATATATATATATATATATATATATATATATATATATATAGAAGGTAGGAATATGTGATTTAGACGAGCTATTTCTATGAAAGTTGTATCTATCCAGGCCTAAAATATGAATACTCTAACTTAAATGCGGCATAACTTGTCTGAATAGGGAATAAATTCTTGGTACAGTATTAAACATGTTTATACTTAAGTCTTTTGATATAAAAAAAAGTAAATCAGTACTGCCTCAATCATTATTATTATTATAATATCAATCAATGTTATGACTAGTTAATCATGAAAACACATGTGGTTATAATCCATCTATAATATTACATAAACCAATACGACGCCTTGTTAAGGAAGTAGATTGAAAGGAGACTTATTTTATTTCTCAGTGGAAACCACAGTCTGATATAGACGTTGATGGGTGCGCTAACCTAAACTTAATAGAAATGTTTAATGTTTGATGTGATATATTATTATCTAAAATATTGCTTTAATGTTTGTTTTATTGATCTTTGGTTATATGTAGCTTAAAATCTGATTTTAAGTGTTGTTTGATATAAGCCTGATGGTCCATAAATGGGTTAAAAACGAAAAAACAAATTAGTGTTGAAAAAAAGGTTGATGCTGTTATGAAGGCTGAGAAAATAAGGCTGAGAACTAAGACCCGAAAAAAGTATCGACAAGTTCTCGCAAAACCGCAATAATTTCGGCTTAATTTTAACACAAGAAACTCGATCTCTTCGAAAAACCCAATCAAGACCACTTTTCCCCAACGCAACGCGGTTTTTTATTGACTTTAGCCGATTCTTCGTCTTTTGTCCGACAAGGGCCCCAGAACCGTCGAAAAGAATTTTAAAAGAAGTAAACGACATAAGATAGCACCTTTTTATGGTAAAAAATGCATTAATTTCTTGTTTTTATTGGGCCGAAATTTAAGGCAAGACGCCGTAAAGTAAGTTATAAAACCGATTTAACGACCCAAAAAGTGTCTCGTCCCGAATACAAAATAATCATTTTGGGAATGCTCGAGTTCGATTTGGTATTAATAGGGTCGGTTTTCGCCGGACTTATCGGCCTCACGAGATATACGGGGTGTTTGTACTCGGGTTTTTAATTGCCCATTAACTCATGCATATAATTATTTCGTTTAACGAATATCAGAGTTTCTGGATCGACACACGATATATTTTCATATACTCTTCACACTCTTTATTCAACACTGTGATATGTTATTTAAACATAGTAACATCACACATATGTGACACGCCCCCTTTTTGTATGGAATAAACTTATCTGGAGGGTTTATTCTTCTGGTACTTCTTCGGAGTGGTGTTTCAAAAGTTGAAGAACTTGGAACCTTATTTTTACATTCCAAAACTTCACTTTCTATTCCCTCCCCCTGAATTAGGTAGGTACTTGTATTTCCTACAGCTGCATTGGATTGACTTCTAAACTCAATATGGATAAAAATTATATTTGATATATTGTTAATACATATTGATCTAAACTTACATTATGTTCTTTCAAATCTGACCCATAAACTAACTTGTAATCAAAATATCCAATAACACCTGGAAGTCCATCAAGAATACTTTAGTCACAATTCTGTGAAATACCTCAGGAGCATTAGATATGCCAAATGGCATTCTCAAGTATTGGTATCTACCAAACGGCATTGCAATTGTGCAGAGATTCGAAATACATTAACTTGATGGAACTTGTAAAAATGCAAATGACAGCATCGAGTAATGAATATACAATATACTTTTGAATTATTCAATTTAGTAAATAAATCTTAAAAGTTCAGTATGTGGAAATGCTCTCTTTTAATAAACTCATCAAGGGATCTAGGATCCATGCAAATTCAACATCGCCATTGGGTTTATTCGCAACCGCTTTTGGATGTATACCCAATCAGTGGCTTCCGAAATTTTTACCATAATTAAGGCATCCTTAGTCCTTCGTCTACAACCAAATTCAATAAAATGCTATTCTATTTTCATTCGGAACCCACGGGTTCCATTCCCACTTCCAATCAAAAATACTTCATGCCAGTTGCTGTTACAACAAATTTAGATCAATATGTATTGACACATACCATATGTAACAAACACTACTAGATTTCAGTTGCCTATGTAAGAAAATAATATTCAAAAATCAAGTTGCATATATTGAGTCAAAAACCTCTAGTTTAAAAAAAACGCATTATATGACTGTTTTTGAGAAGTTTTCCAGGGAAGTTAACAAATCCAGTATACAAAACAAACAATTTTCTCACAGTTCTCTACCAACAAGCAATAACATCCATTAAAAGACAATTGTGCAGCAATTTCGAAATAATTCAACAAGAAAAAAAATCTCTACAACCATAGAACCTGAACAATATTAAAACATATAAGGCATAAAATCGTACGATAAAAGTGCACAAGTATCCGCGACGTTTTAAATCATATTTTCAATAAAAGCTCGTTTTTCATTTGGTTTAATGTCCCTTTAATGCCTTTTAAGGAGTTTTCGGAATTACGGCGATTAAGCTTTAACTGGGATAGTTTATGTTTTAGTGTAAATTACATTTAGCTTTTTTTTTTGTTTTATGGTGAGTGTGAAAGAGGAACAGTTAGAATTTAATTGAATATTTTTTTCAGATATTTCTTAGAATTCACAATAAGGAATTATCAAGCAAATTATCGGGTTGCGCTTTGCTAAAGCTGAATTTCCCTTGTCGTAGCGTCTAACTAAACTAAAACAATGACCTTTTACAGAGGTAGATCTATCTGGATCGCCGTCCAGGTCTGTGTCCAGAATGAAATTAGTCGTTAATATCTGGCTTTTAAACGTTCACTTTTTCTGGAAAAAAAAACAACTTCGCATTTATTCTGGAAATTTCAAAAGAGCATAAAAGTGCCTGGAGGTGGCTTATTATCATTGTCACGAGCAAAGTATTCCAAATGACGAAGAAACAGACAAACAAACGAAAAGTGTTACCAACTACTTTGTTTTTGAATAGCCAGTACTGTCAAATTTTGTGAGTTGTCCGTAAAACTCATCACCTGTGTCTGGTCCATGGATGGGTCTTGGCCAATCAAGTAGTAAGAAGGTTTGGAATGGCCCCTTGTCTATCTACACAATATGTATATTTGCGGCCAAGATTCGAGTGAGAGAACGGAAGAGATCCGTGTAATTTTTTGCCCTTACTAGTGCTATCTGTGAGAGATCTGAGGGATCCAATAGATTTTCTGCTCTTACTAGCACTATCTCATTCTGGAATCATTTGAGTTACGCAAAGCCCATTCCAAACCTTCTCACTACTACATTAGTCTTGGCATTACAACAAATCAGTTGGGCCACTCTTATTAGTCTAAAATGTCCTTTGAAGTAAAGTAGAGTCGGAATAATTTGGCATAATGGCCAATAAAATATGCAAACCAATCACAACTAAAAAAACTGCCCTAGAAATGTGAAAAGACGTACCTTCTACAGCTGCATTGGATTGACTTCTAAATATGGATTATATTCGATATGCCGTTGGGAGTTAAACTAAACTAACATGTCATCAAAATATCCACGAACACCTGGAAGTCTATCAAGAATACTAGTTACAATTCTCTGAAATACCTCAGGAGCATTAGGTATGCCAAATGGCATTCTCAAGTATCGGTATCTACCAGTTTTGCATAAAAGCTTCAGAACTGTGCAATAGAAGTAGCCTGTTCCATTAGATAGTTTCCAGAGAATCTTCTATTTAAGAAAATTCACAAACATATTTACTTCTTTTACCTGATAACGGGCCTAATAAGTATGAATTTGCACCAATATATTACAAAGACCAATTAACAAAAAACAATTATTTTAAAACCTCGTAATAGTATTCGCTCGCTCAGATTTCCGTATACTTAAGCGAAGGCTATTGGCACAGAAACGTAAAAAGGGGGGAAATTTATGAGTCGGCGGCAGTAACTTTACAATAATTAGAAAGCCGCACGGGACTGTAAATTTTAAACCCAATAAACTTGTGGAAAATCCTTAGGTAAATTAGCTTGAAAATTAGAACTATGCGTTTTATTGCGTCAGGGATATAAATTCTGCCGGCGTTCGCTGGTTATAGATTTTTAAGGTTGCGTAAATACATAGCGTTTTGATGACAGTTTATTGCCAATTTATTTGTGCTTTTGGCGGCATGTTTTCTAATCAAGGGCAAACAATAAGTTGAAATATGCATAATATACAGGTATTATAGCTCAAGTGATTTTCACTATAACCTGGTGCGTGTTAATTGTAAATAAAATTGCCTCAACTTATCTGCTTGAAAGTCATCAATCTTCTTTTTTTTTTCTCACTCACTCACATATCCTATATCTTTTCCATTTTTACTGAAAAAAAAATCAGACACTTTTATGTATCTGATTATCGTAACTCACTACCCAGTAGCCAGCAGGTATGTGCAGCACACGTTAAATTCATTTATATGCTAAACAGGCAATAGTATGAGACAGGTAATGTCTTCCAGTAGTTGACTTTAAAGTCATATCCTAGAGACGGGATTCGATCAACAAACCCGGACTTCAGAGAATTTGAAATTTATTATTTATCTTTTAATTTGTTTCAGGAATGTTGCAAGATTTATGCTGGCAACAATGGCTACTGTCACATCTGGGATATTGTCGCCGAATTCTTATGTTTTGAACCCAGGTATGTTCCTATAACACTTTACTTATTCTAACTATTTCTTAGGTGTTCTTAACTCGAGCAAAAAAAAATATATTGATACATATGTAGAAAACACAAGGAAGAAGATATATGAATCATTTCAAGGATTATGTATTCCAGATTTTTTAAAATTCAATATCTTCATCATACTATTCATACTTACTTTTACTTACTTCTTACTTGTATAAATTGACTTGTTTTGAAGATTGTCATCATCTGCCTAGCGGTCATTTATTCCTTTTCTGGATATAGATAACTTCTCTGTTCATCAGAATGTGTTTTTAAATCGTCCCTGCATCGAGTACGTGGTCTACTTGGATTGCGGTTTTCTGTTCACGGCTTCAATACCGTAACCTTTCTTGTCAATTTCATGTCTTTGGCTTTGGTTCTTATAAAGTGACAGGCCCACTTCCACTAATGCCTCGACATTTGCTACTTACGACGGCCTAAGGTCCTTAAGCGTTGTCTTGTTTCTAATCTCTGCATTTCGTTTCATAACTCCGCGAAAACCTATTCCCAACATGATCTCCTTTATTTTCGTTATTGGTTATCATTTTTTCGGTCAGTTGTGAAAAAATTGGTTGCAGATTTTGCTCTCCAGATGTTGGGGGAGAACAGACCTGAAAATTTGGTACAAAGTTCCCAAAGACAATCACATGAGAATAATTGTTTCTGTCGTAGATGTTATGTCTATATTTCCCAAATACCTACTTTAACTTTCGTATCATCTTCAAATTTTGAACTAACGTCCTCGAGTCTATGTCAATTCGTCGTAAAGTCAATACGTCGTAAAGGTAATTCGACTATTCTTCGTATTGTTGATACGTCGTAAAGGTATAATTCGTCGTATTTCAGCTATAATGGTAAAAAGTTAAAATGTATAAATTTACACTTTTTCGTTTAATCAGACATTACCAAACTTACCGATAATAACCTGGATAGTTTGGATTAGTTTGGGTTAGTTTGCAATTTTACTCAGACATATTATTGCAAATTAACCCAAACTAACCGGGTTATTATCGGTAAGTTGAAATCTCTGATTTGAATTGCAAACTATTAACACGTTAATTCGTCGTATACGTCAATTCGTCGTATTGTTAATTCGTCGTATTTCAGGTATAATGGTAAAATGCATAAATTTGCACTTTTTCTGTTCAATCAATGATTACCAAACTTACCGATAATAACCCGGTTAGTTTGGGTTATAGTTTGAAATTTTAATCTAACCCAAACTAACCAGGTTATTATCGGTAAGTTTGATAATGTCTGACGAAAATTACAAACTATTAACACGTTGGCTACCACATGAGTCACCAGTGATGCATAAGATTCAGTTGCTTTCATACCGGCAGGGATGTTTCACCCAATTTACCCCCAATACGAGGTAGTCGACGTTACTTTACGACGAATTGGCGTATTTGTCGAATCAACGTTACGACGAAATGTCGTATACGACGAATTGATTTTGCGGCGAATCGACATATACGACGAATTGACTTCACGACAAATTAACGTATACGACGAATCGACGTACGACAGATTTATTTACAACAAATTGACGGTGATCCAACGTCCTCCATGCTTGTGAGTTTTGTCAATGTTTATTTCGGGATTATGCGGGACAATGTTACCGGAAGAAAGATCCGCACAATGTTGAAAAACAGACATATTATGTTATCAGCAAAGGAATCAGAAGAAAATAAGCATCATCTAAGAAGAGTTGCGATAATGGTACATAATAGACTGAAGCATCTAGTGACAAAAACACAATCTATTTCAAACAGGGACATTATGTGATTCAAACCGATACAGCATCCAAATAAATGAAGTATACGCGCCCACAGGTACCGATGATGAGAATGAGAGGTGGAACAGCTTCATGAGAACGTTTCACTAGCACAGACAGAAGAGAATACCTACTTCAAGATCATAATGTCTTTAATGCTTAAGTAGCGAAAGTCAACAGAAATGAAAGAATATGAACATTTGTATTGCATGAACTCTTCCAAAAACCACTAAGAAGGAGATGGACATGAAGAAGTCCACATCGATCCAGACTAATCAGTTAAAAATGAGGTGGATTTCATTATCACAAATCGTGAATAAATTTGAATACTGGCATAATACATGAAAGGGCCGCTGAAAAATTTAGAGAAAAATACTAAGCAGAATCAGGAAACAATTACTACTTTGAGGAAGAAATAACTTCTTTTGTACCAAATCAGCCACAAGAGAGATATGTTATGCAAGGACAAATACAACCAATAAACTGCGAAAGGAGACCTAAGATCTGATGAGATGAATACAGAAATGAATAAGGAAATACCTGAACAAGAACTGAAAAGGAAGGAGCTACAATACAGCGGGGATTGGAAAAGAACAAAAATATGAAAATTCTGGAAACGAATGGTCAAAAAGTGAATAAATTGACGGACCCAGATAGTTGGTCGACATAGTTAATGAAAACATTATGAATGTTGGATCTGAAAAATTATGTCAGGATTCGTGTGGGGCGATCGTGGAAAATGTTGAACATTCTGTTTACTGAGTACATATAAAGTCAAAAATGGCAAATTAATCCAAAAAGCAGAAACCAGAAGTATCCAATTGTGGGCGACGACTGGAAAGCTAATAACGGTTCGAAAGTTCTTATACATTTAAATAGGTATTAAACATCTACTTCCCTGTAAAATGACTTAAGTCATATGGAAACTATACTAATTGATCAGCACACAAAGTGCCATAGAAAAAATAATTCTAGAGAAAAGTCTAGATAAGACAGAGGTTGATGTTAAAGTACGAATAGCTAAATTAAACTGTAGTTGAGCAGGAAATATAGACGATAACAGATGGACAAAACGTTCTCAGCTCAGTTTTTTCTGACGGTTGAATAATATGGAAACCTGGGGCCTGTTTCATAAAAATGAAGAGTTGATAAGCGACGAGTGAAGAATGAAGAGTTGAGGAGTGAAAAGTAAATTTCGTTTTTGTTTGGAAATAAATTTGCGTCTACTCCTCACTATTCATGACGAGTATAAGTATTCAATATAATAGTCAATGAAGAGACACCTCCATAGTTTGTTTAACTGTAAATCCTTCCCCTCTAGTACGTCGTTGCTCAGAATAATTTCCAGGGAAGTAATTTTTTCTTCAGACACCCTGAATCTGGTGTTTGCATCAAAAGGTCTATTTTCTATAGCCACCCAGAACTTTAAACAAATTTGTAGGTATATTGTGCCAAATGTCTCACCTTAGTCTCTTCCTATGTAACTTTCTTTGCACATTTTCTTCATCGAAAGAAAAATCACTGTTAAATAGTAGATTTTGCATTATATTATGATGTGCACTAAACGTATTTGAAAAAGAAATGAGGGACTTCGTAAACTCGTCAGTAAATCTTGACGACTTATTGAGGAGTGTTCATGAAATGAAATTAAAAATTTTGTCAACTATTTATATTATGTCGGTCCTCAACTTTCCAACTTTTAATTTAGCATTGATTTAAGAAGTGTGTCTGATTTGACTGGTTTGAGTATGATTGAAGATAATTTCTCTTTCCCATTTACTTATGATGATACATATTCAGGTAATGCTCTGTTGCCTTTTGTCCCATTCATTACATTTTTTATTTCTCATGTACAAGGTGGCATACACATGTTCTGTGTGCTGTTTTGTACGTTTTGCTCGAATATGCCATTTGGTTCCATCATGTTTATAATTTCAGATTTCTCTTTGTTTTTCTTCTGGTACTTTATATTGTTCGGCAATATTTTTTACTTCCACAGTTAATTGTATATTTTACTAAATTTTTTTCTCTGTCTTCTTCGTAGTTTTTTACTTTCTTTAATTTCTTTTGGCTCTGTTTGGCTTAAAGCGTTAATGGCATCAATGTTTTTGTCAGCTATTATCGTATTGTTATAATATGGAGTGCGACGTTGCCAAATTTCCGATTTTCCCAAGTTTGGAGATTCTCAGGGATGACCTCCTGAATGCTTTTTTTTTCCAAAAAAAAAAAGAAAATCAGAAATGACTTGTGGAATGTCAATGCTTTATATTAATATCTGAAGACCTATAACCACAATATCTATTTCCTGTAATCTTTCCTTTATCAGCTTTCGTCTTTCTTCTGGTGGTAAAGTATGTCTAGTGGTGCTCTTACTAATATGTACCTAATGCTACTAACAATGCGATTCAATGCAAGTATTTTCAAATTAAATATGTTTACTTTGATTTGAAAAAAAAAATTCCTTGGGTTTATTACATAGATAGGTCCCTATGAGAAGATTCGGTCAGATCGCATAAAGCCAGAAAAGAATAAGATTTAAAAAAACGAGATCAAAAAATCCTAAAAATCCTTAATAACCTTGCGAAACATAAAACACACACACACAACAATGCCGGGGCCGCGGTTGAGCAAAAAAACGGCCAAACGGGCCATCTAAACTAAAAATTCAAGATGAGACGGTGATTCTGTGAAATTGCCATCAGCGCAAATTTTAATTATTTCTGACCAGGTCGGTCCGGGAATTCTTGCAAGTTTTTATTAAAATTTGCTAAAACCGAGCACGTTTTCGGTCCGATGCATTCGTTTAACGAAATATTTTCGGGTAAAAACGACGCCAGACAGAATTTTTGGCAGTTTGCAGAAAGAAGCGCGATTTTTGTTGTCTAGATATTTCGGAAATGCGATCCCGGGAACTGGCGCTTTTTTTGCTACACTCGGTAGAACCTTTTTGAATTAATCTTGATATTACTTATTTATCAATTCAAAAAAAAAAGTATTCTCAAGCATTGTCAAACACAAATCTATTCATATTTTTTGGTTAAGGCGATCCGCCTGAAATTTTAAATATCTTTATCCGGATTTCTCAAATTTGATATTTAGAGCACATCACACCATAGAGATACTATGCATGTGCAAAACAGATATTAAAAGTTTGTGTTTCTTCAGATTGCGGTTGAAAAAAATCTTCATTTGTGGTGTGATTAGTCAATATAAACATCTTTCATCTCATATTAGCTTTGTTTTGCTTCGAAATTTGGAACGGTTTTGGGATTGTGCAGAACAGCTTCCGCACTGAACATAATCGAGTGTGCAAAATGATTCCGAACTACTTCTGGGTGGAACCAAAACAAAGCTACTGTTTTACCCCTATTCCTGTCCTTGAGATAAAACTACCCCAAAACCCCAAGAAAGCTTTGAAAACTATTTTCCAAACTCACAATATTTGCCATCTGCCCACATCTTTTACACAAATTCAGTTTCTGTAAAATGTTGGAAGAAAGAACAAATTGCTTGTCGCCTCTTCAATTACAATAACACTTATATAATGATTACCTAAGGAATAGCCATTATCGGCAGCTTCTTCGAAGTTTTAAAAGACTCATCTAAAATTCAAAGTTGGTTAACAATTTATTACAATCTGCAAGTCATATTAAAAATAATTATGAAATTAGTAACTTCTGTGCACATCGGTATGTACACTAAAAAGTTAACTTCTTTTTTTCCAATATTTAGTATTTTATGTATTCTTGAGGTAGCAAAGAAAATCACTTGTCATAAAAATACAACTACTTTAGGCCATTGGTAGGTATCCCGTCAAAATAATATATGCCTGCTTCCGACATACATATTTATTTGTTGGCTTTACCTCCCAAGAAGGCAATTTTTGAAAAATCTTGTATCCATATGCCATTTAGTAACATACGATGTTTATTTGGAGTTTGGCAATCATATTTTTGCCTATAAATCACCTTTTAGCAATAGCCAAAAATATGTTATTTGTATATACCTAGATAGTAAAACATCAAGTCAATGGACGGAGAAGTGTTCGAGTTCGAAGACATGATAATCTCAAAACAATTTTCATAAATCACATGACTCCAATAAGTACTTATTCAAGTGACTAAATTACAAGTTAATAATTGAACAATAATCGTAAATTACACGGTCAAATCACTCGAAATGCTTTTTCCTAGCGCACGACGCGACTGACTAAACAACGTTAAAAAGGTGTTAAAATTGTTAAAAAGCAGCAAACATAACTTTCCGGAATCATTAGTTGATTTAACGGTGAAAAGGTGCATTTTTGTTAAATAATAAAATGTGAAGAATACAACCATCTAAGTGCTGAACAAACATCTCATGGCGAGCTATTGACAGAAAAAGTTGCATCTTAGGTGGAAATGCATCGAGTAGGAATGTAACGCGTAATAATTACAATGTAAACGTAGTTGATTGTATAGCGAGAAATATGTTTTGTTTTTTTAACAGTCCTAAGTGAAATATTAAATAAAAATTCTTTTTCTAGATGCAGTAGCACTAAAACTCGCCCAGCATCCGGAACCCATGGACACCTACCACCACAGACACCCTTTTACGCACGCTACCTACTCAGAATCCCACCACTCTAGTGACTCAGAACAAGAAGTGCCATACACGCCAGCGTCCCCTAACAGACCACTCAACATTTCCGAACCAAAGAGAAACAAAAGAAAAAACTTTAAACCTCGGTGTTCGCAAAATCTACCTTCTGAAGAAGAAGTATTGAATCTAAGCGAATATAATGAAAATAATAATGTTAATAACAATGTGAGGCGTCGCAAGCCTTTGGCAGGTCCAAGAAAAATTATGCAAGATCCTAGTTTCACTCCTATGGATTTGAGTGGCTCTAAGCCCGACTCTGAAGCCTCAGAACGATTAAGTAATGACTCGGAACTGTTAAGTCAAGGCTCTGAAACTAAAAACGACTCGGATAATTCTGATTCGGACGACTTCAATACTGAAAACTATAGAACGCACTCAGAAAATGAGGAAGCCAAAGATGACGACTCGGAAGAAAACGATTCGACTAAAATTCCGAGTAGTTTTTCCATACATAACCTAAGCAAACCTCACGTTTCTGATCCATCGGGTTTAGTTCAGAATCTAAGTCCTGATCAGATATCGGAAATGCGTAATTACGCTATGAATACAATGAGGGAACTACTGGGCATTTATGGTTTAACTTCAGAAGTGGCCGAAAGTATATCCAGGCAGTTACCATTAGCGGCATTTGCTACGGGTAAGTACTCTTTTCTTTATCGGTTTCAATGTTAGTCAATAAACTACTAGACCGACCCACATGTGTGGAGCCTATAATAAATTTCAGCATTTTTCAGTACCATACCGGTACATTTCAGTCGAACAAGGTAGGACCATTTGAGCGTTAAAACGTGTAGAAATTAATGTCGCGTGTCTAACGCGATTTTTTGAGTTGAAATTTTGCGGTTTCAAGGTTTGATGACTAATAACGAGGCATAGACAAGACAGAATTCGTCATCTCGTGTTTATCATAATCAATAATAGTTTCACAGTTTTAATAATATCTGCTTATGGTTATGGTGCCCTATTTGGATTTTGGACAAACCGGCTTTTCAGTTACAGTGTAATATTATTAGAGCTCACTGATATCTATATAGTCAAAAGATCCTAATAGACCATCAGATAGTAACAGATTTAGGTGCCCGATTTTGCATACAAGCCTTCATTGAAAAGTACATCGACGTTGAGTAGAATGGAGAGAAACTTCCGAGTGCCTCCTGGGCATTACGATAACATATGGGAAACTCTATTTTATTTAACAGAAAAAAAAGGTATCTGGTTCCCATATTTTTACGCAAGTCATGTTCAGAAAGAATCAATTAATAGAAACTAGCTTTGGAAAACCAAAGGCTGGATGTGCGAAACGCTAGCCACCAAAACTGCAGAATCTGACGTGGGTGAACAAACCATGCAGGTCACCACCACTAGAGGATGTCCGCAGGGAGGGGTATGGACGACTTCCTGAATTTATTCACCTGCTCTGGATAAGCCGATGATATACGAAGGAATACTCTGCGACCTTATAGAAAAATCACTTCGAACCACGAAAGAATGGTGTCAGACAGTGGGGCTGAATCCAAACTCAACAAAACCACACTGGTAACATTTACAAAAAGAACGAAACTCCCAAACTTGAGAAACATTCGCCTCGATGGAAGCAGACTTGATTGGAAAAAAGAAATTAAATTCCTAGGAATAACCCTAGATTCTAAACTTCTCTGGAACCGACATGTAAAAACAAAGCAATCTCGGCACTCATGCTCTGGAAGAACATTGCCGGTAAAACATGGGGTTGTAACCTATCAATCCTAAGATGGATGTATACCATGAAAGTGAGATCTATCATCACGTACGGAGCGGTAGCCTGGTATAGCCGAACCCAGTTAGTAACAGCTCGGAAAACCCTAGGAAAAGTGCAAAAACTCACGTGTCTCTGTATAACAGGAGCAATAAGATCATGCTCAACCACGCACTAGAAGGCATTCTAGAACTCACACCACTCCACATAAAAGTGAAGCGGGTTGCCAGTGGATCATGTCTCAAACTGGAGAAGATATCTCTACAAAGGAAAACGCACCTTGGCAGAACTTTTCCTCTCCCAAACTGTACACACCTCATGGATCTACCAAAAGACGTGATTGTTGATAAATTTAGTTTGGAGAAAAACTTTTCCATCGAACTAAGTGCAAAAAACAGATGGAACATGGAATCTAACCAATCCCTTAAAGCAAACACCATCAAATGGTACACAGACGGTTCCAAAACTGTTGAGGAAACTGGAGCCGGAGTATTCGGGCCACAGACCAAATACTCGGAGCCAATGGGTAAATCATCAAGCATATTTCAAGCGAACTTCATGAGGTCGGAAGATGCGTGCAGTTCAACCTAAACAGGAGTTATCGGAAACGAGAGATTCTAATAATGTCTGACAGCCAAGCAGCTATCAAAGCATTGAGCTCCTTTGAGTACCCGGACACATAGGTGTCGAGGGCAACGAATGCGCAGACAGACTTGCAAGAACGGGGGCGTCTACTCCCTTCACTGGCCCAGAACCATTTTGCGGCGTCGGAAATGGGTACCTCCAAAAACTCCTCAAAAAAGAAGGGAACTAGCTAAGGAGCAAACAATGGCTAGAACAGCCAGGACTACGACAGGCCAAAGATCTATTGGGCAACTTCAACCAAAAAAGATCAGAGCTGCTGGTCAACCTTAGGAAGAAAAGTATCAAGACTCTAACCGGGTTTTTCTCGGGACATTGCAGACTTAAGAAACACTTACAGAAGTTGGGGTTAGAAGAAGATGGTAATTTCAGATTCTGTGAAGACGGAGAAAAGACACCTCACCATCTTCGATGCCGTTAGTCTCTCAAGAATAAAGAACCTGAGAAGTGCCCTTATGTAGTTGGAAGACATTCCAGCCCTGGAACCCCTAGACATCGTAAAATTCCTAGGACTGGAGAAACTGCTTTGAGTGGGAAACCCGAACTTAGCAGCAGAAGAAGTGGTATAATAGATTAACCTTGGTCGCAGTGCAACTGACACCTCCAATACACACATACACAAACCAAAGGTTTGAGGGTTGCAGGTGGCTAAAGGGTTGAAATATGGGCGTAGGGAAAATCAAATGGAGATTTGGAGCGATTTTTCCACACAAGCCCATCAAAAATATTTGGCTAGAATGGCGCAAATGGATGAGTAGGTACCTATGGTCCGCAGCATGAAACAAGGACCAAAAGAGTGCGACAAGTTTGAAAACCATGCGTAGAATGGTTCGTGCCGCCTTGAACAAACACAACTCTTCCGCATCAATTTGTTGCCTTTGTCTAGTCAACAGGTTATTTAGTATTTGTCGGCTGTTTTAGTAAGCTTGCTAGGTTCTTAAATACTCTCCCCCTTTAATCATATTATGGTCCCATGCTGCGGGCTTTAGGTATATTTTTATTTTTTAGATAACATAAGGAAATCCATATTCCCCATGAGCCACTTGTGTATTTCCCTTTATTTTACTCTTACTCAACATTGATATACATTTCAACACTCTTCGAGGCTTATATGCGAAAATGAGGCACCTGAATCTGTCGCTATCTGACGAACTATAATCAGACTAGGGATTTCAGGGATTTTTTGAATAATTGAAACTGGTCTTGAAGATGAATGAGAAGGTATCCGCAAAGTATATTCTATTTTCTACATAGTTATGAAATTCTATCCATGTTCGGATGTTCCCGAAGGCAAAAGCCAAAAAAAAACTGAAAATTATGTCTTACTTTTCAAGTCTAAGAAAAAATTTATAATATGTCAAGGCGTGAATCGACTTGCCAGAATTCTATCAACTGTATTAATATTTTTCTTTCTTTTATGAAAAATGAAGACACTCTAATGTAGTCATAAATTGTTAACGCTTCGGGCATATATTTAACGGAAATATGTATACATTAGAAATCATCCACGGAAAAACTCTAATGTGCATTTACTTCAAATACCTACCTATGTGACTTTTTCTTGAAATGTTAAAACGCATCTCTGTATGCACAGCTGCATTTAATAAACAAATTAGAGGGAAATTGATATTTTAAAAAGGGTAAATAATAATTGAGGAATTCCTGTTTTAATGAGAAGCTTTGCTGCAATTGTCACCTAACATTAGGTATATTGAAGTGCTAATTGAATATTTATAACTTAATTATTTTGCTTTAATGCGTGCAATGAACTTTACAAATTAAATATGTATATTTTTTTTTAAGGGATTTTTCCCCTTTAGTAAACACACGCACGATTTTTTGTGCCAATTTCTCACAAAACACAAAATAGGTATTGCATTACCTGGCATAGGTCCCGAACAAAAGCTTAAAGAGGCCGGAAAAAAACTTTTAACCCCAAATTTGACCCTCCGGAATTGCTAAAAATCTCTTCACCTTTTGTAGGATTAGGTAGGTATATGAAGTCTTTAGTAATATCTATTGAGAAAAAAAAAACTACCAAAATTCGCACAAAGGCATTAATCGAGGTTGGTGAAGGACATAAAAAGGGGAAGAAACGGTTGTTTTAAATTTATTCATCCTAAAGTTATTTGAAAAATCTTTTAGAGAACGCTCAAATTCTATACTGGAATCAGAATCACTCTGTATAGAAGGTATAAAAAAAAAGGAATAACATGATGGATAATTGAAGAGATGAGTGTAATATTATTTGAGGTGACGATAAATTAATATCATTATAAAAATTAAAAAAAAAAAAAATATTAAAATGAGATGACGGGAAATGGCAACATCACAACAAGCGTCCGAAAAAAGCTGGAGCATTTCTCAAACCGAATGGCACGCGAGTAAACTTGTAGTGGTCTTGGGTATATCGTCCAATCAATTCAATCAATGGGCTTAAATAATGATGGCATTTCCCCAGCTTGTCGTCCATAGTTTTCTGCAACTCAACTGATGCAATCATGGAAGGTAGAAAACGTGAACCAATTAGCAGATGCCACTATCCTCGTGGATCTCCAGAAGTCATGAAAAACCCAGACCTAGTAGCTTTTTGATTCTCTAGATTTATACACACTTTTTTGATAGGAAGTGTCAGCGATATCGAGGCCAATATTTTTGATCACATCGGCGGATCTTCTTCTTAAAACTCTGATCTTCTAGAGTTTCGAATCTATTCATGATCTGCTAATAGGTGGAAATACATCTCTAGACTTCAGATTAGATATTTCATTTCTCAATATTGACGTTCTTTATAAATTTCCAATTCTCCCTGCTTCTTTGACTTACCAGTCTATTTTTTTTTTTGGACTATATTATTCTTTTCACTTTGGTATGTGCGTTATCAAAAGCGTGTTTATTCTGATCTTTTTTTTTTTTTGGATAAGTATTTGTTGTATAGTCTTTCCTGATCCTGTATTTCTTGCTCAATCTCTTCATCCCACCAGTATGTCGACGTTAGCGTTTCATTTTTGCAACTTCGTGAATGGGTGTTTCAATAGCTTCGTCGAAGTTTTTACATGGCGATGCTCTATAAATTTTCTGTGGTCATGGCTAGGGCGGTGACACCCTGTATTTTCAATTTTGTTTGGTAGGTAATTAGGTAATCGATCACTGATATTAAATTCTTGAAAGGTTTGGTCCAGATGTACTATGTTCTTGTGTTGAAAGAATATATTTTGGATTTTCAGGTCTGACTGTTTCCATTATCATTCACTGACCAT